AAAACCAAAAATGCATTTTCATGGCATATTAATACTTTTAACTGTTTGATTCATGTTCAGGACTATTGATAGTACAAGTCTAACGTGCTACATGCAGGCTAAGGCATAAGAATGAGATCCTGCCATTGCTAGGGCACGATATGAGATTTCCTTCGAATCTCTGGATTTAGGTTGTTTCAAGCCAAACTAAGCTCGGATTTGAGATCAGGGGGTTTGAATTAGGGGGGTAGGGTAGGTTTGAATCCTTGAAAGTTATTATTTTGAAGGTTCAAATTTGAGCCCACCGGAGAAGACAACCAGAGAGTTGGCTCCGGTGGGCTGACTCTGGTTGCCAAATATCACCTTGTTACTGGTCCACTTCACTCAGTGCATGTTTTTCTAACATAATATAATTGTTTCATTTGTATTAATGAATGAACAGATGACCCAGTGGTGAAGGATGCGTGTGTAAGCTTGGAGAGCCTGGGTTCAATCCCCAGGTCTTTGCGTTTTTTCTCATTCTTTTTTTCCAGATCCAACGTAGCATGTTTCAGCGTGCTTACCATGCCCCTCCAACTCTCAGCCACCAGATTTGTACAGATCTGATCCAACGCGCCCAAGAATGTCCCCCATGGTGCAACCCCAGGAGCCAGGCCTCACGGGATCAGGCGTAATATTGGGCTCTCTGATTTGGGCCTTACAAGAATTTCAAAACGCACCCCCGTTTTAACTTTAATACTAGGCCCAATTTATTTTCTTTTCTTCACTTTTTTTTATTTACCTAATTGTCTTATGTTTAAAAATCATTTTATTTAATTAAAATCATAAAAAATCATAAAAAATATTAGACTTAGGATTTTTATGATTTATTTTAATTTTGTAAATTAATTTAGTTAATTTTTAATTTAATATTTTCCTAAATAGGCAAAAAACAACAAAATAATGTTCCTTTTACATAGAAACATTTTAGGGTTTTAGACGTCTTTTCCAATTCGCGCGGGTTTATTATTTTTCGTATTCTATTTTTCATATTATTGTACCTAATTCCTGGTTGTAATAGTTTAAAGTAGGACTTTTATTTTTTCTGCTTTATTCCCCAGTTTTGGACATGTAAATAATCCCCTCTCCAAAGCCTTGTAATAGCTAGATTTATATTTCCGCACTTTTAATTACTGCAAATTATTAACTGTTTAGATGTATGATAATTAGGATTGTATGGCAAGAGTTTAACAATCAAACGCTAGCAAACCTAATACAGAGACAAAAATAACTGAATATAACACAATTGTACATGCGCACCTCTAGGGTACCCCCACTTTGGTCGCCTTCAGAAAAACACTCACAACTCTTGAAACGTGAGAGATTTTAGTGGCTATCCTCTGGTTTAAAGATCATAAGTCCCTCGATGACCCTCTCGACGTTGCCTCGGTAAAAATGATCTTAAAACCCTAGGGTAGTTACTAAGGTTTCTTGCCAGTTGCCTTTGTGACTATAAACGTCCCTTCGAATGTCCCTCAAAACATCAAACGACTAGGGCTACCTACTCATTAATAGTAGGATAGAACTGTCTAAAGGAAAAGAGGAAAAGAATAATCCTTTCGAGTAAAGTAGACAGCTGTTAGATGCTTGCTCAAACAAATTTTTTACACTTACACAAAACCACTTTCATAAACATTTTCAAAACGCTTTATCAACACTCTTGAAAACTGATACAAGAGTTATCATAAAGCAATTTGCCTGACTATTGGAATTTCAAATGCTTTTTTCAAACACATAAAGCACAAGGTATTTCAAAATGAGCTAAGCATATAAGAGCCCATAGATAACTACGAATGGAAAGGGTGCTAACACCTTCCATTTCCATAATCTACCCCCCTTACTCAGAAAACTCTCGAAAGGTCTTTTCTGTTATTTTCACCCTTTCCTTTGTTGGATAAAAAAAAGTCGATGGCGACTCTTGCTTACCGCAATATTTGCGTACACAAATGCAAAACCAGTATAAACAGTCGGTTCTGCCACCGTATCACACTTAGCATACAAGTAAGTTGTATATAAATAAATATATTGTAAATCAACTTATATTCATTCAATAATATAAATCCATATTTCCTTATTCTTTCTCTTTCTTTCCACACTAAAAGTGTCTCATGCACTAACAAAGTCTAGGAGGGGTTTTTTCCATGATTTGGCACGTATTAGTGTGGTTTATTTGGTCCGTGCATAATGATAAGATGTTCTCTAGTTTTTCACTGAATGTGAAAGTTTGAGGATTTTTTTATTTAATTTTGGAGTTAATTTTGTAGTTGGTCCACTGTGAGCTCTTACTATTTGTTTGCGTACCTTTAGAACCTGATCCTATATCTTAGTCGATAGCAGAATGAGTGGTTTGACCTTATTCAGAATAGTTCAGGGGTTCTTAGAATATTGTGGCTCTTTTGATCTGGTGATGGTGAATCTGGAAGTCTGAGATCTGACTAAGTTTCGTGGTTGGGTGTGGCTTCGCTTGTGGTACCATGTGAGTTCTTTATATTGATTAGTTTGACTTGATTTTCTTTTGATTTGGTTTATATTGTTTTTTTTTGTACTTCTTATATTGGTTTGAATTTTTTTTCTTGTTTGTATTCATATTTTGCCCTTCTTTATATATATATATATATATATATATATATATATATATATATATATATATATATATATATATATATATATATATATATATATATATATATATTATTTTGCCATTCAAAAATAAAGTATACACTGTTGTAGATTTAAACAAATTAATAACTAGTCAAATTCATTAAATTTAAGTAACTCCTTCCATTGCAAAATTACTCAAATTAAAAAATTGTAAAAAGAAAAGGGAGATTTTTTATTGAGGTTTCTTTATCAGAAATACAAAAATGAAAGATTGTGAATCGGAATTGTTGTGAAAAACCAAAAAAAATTAAGTTCAAAAGACTAAATTGGATACGTAAAATAAAGAACAATTACAAATAACTAAATGACTTCAGTGTAATAAAAATATAAGAAGTGAGAACACATAGAAAATTGTTTTTTCAGTTCGATCAAACTGCTTTACATCCGAAAAGAGAGTAGATCTTTGATTCACTATAGTTCGAAATTGTTACAGAAGATTACAATATAAATTTCAAGAAAATTGTCTTTGAATTTTCCAAACTATCAATATAAAAATCATACAAACTCAACGGGTTTAAAGTGTTTCTGAAATTTGTTTGATAGCCCGCAAAAGGTTTCCAAACCCCAAGAATATAATCCTAGATATTTCTACTATATGCTTCTCACTAGGAATATTACATTATGCATCACCAGTCAACAAAAAATGAAAGAGAAACATATTTATAATTGTTAAAACCTTAACGGACTCAATCTATGACACATTAACGAACAAGTTCGTGAAATGATCCAGCATGACCCGAGATCCCTCTGGACAAGCCTCTTCGATTAGCAACATTAAGATTTTGGTAGTTATAAATATAGATATCTCTCATTTATTGGAGATATGTAATGTATAATAAGGCAGTGGTTCTAGTGATAAACAAAGGGTAGAAATTCCCAAGATTATATTATTGGGGTTTGTCAGTCTCTTAGGATTTTCAAAGGAATTTAGAGGTTTAGTTTGGGAACTCCAAATACTCATTTATTGTAACTTATATTGTAATATCTTGTAAAATTTTAAAGTATAGTGAATCAGAGAGATGCTCTCTCTCATTTTGATTAAACTTGGAAAACAATTTTCTCTATGTTATTATCTGTTATATTTTGGTTTCACTTAAGCTATTTATTTGGTATTCACATTTCTTGAAATTTTCTGGTACAAGCAACACATGTTAATACGGATGTCCCAACATCAGAACAATGTCACGACAGATGTTACAACATTTGTTGACATACTGAACAAATTTATCAAGATGCAAGTGATACTGAAATTAAATTGTAGAATGATAAATAACACATAGAGTTGTTAACCCAGTTCGGTGCAACATCACCTACTCTAGGGGCTACCAAGCCAGGAAGGAAGTCCACTATTAGTAGTATTAATTCAAAGCCTAAACAGTCTCAACATACAACTTCTCACTTAATCCCCATCCAATGCAACTTCTACTTAGAAATCACCATCTAGATATGAGAAATCCCATCTCACTGCCTAAATCACCTCAGTGATATCAAACTGTCCCAAACACAGTGATTATATCAAAAAACAACTCAACAAGAAGATTATACTTCCAATACAAAAATACTTGGTAATGCTTAAAAATTTCAACCAAGAACAATACTCAACTCATTACCTAAAGGCTTCTGAGTGAGAACATTACGTCTATCACAAGTATCAAAAGATACAAGGGTAACTAACACCCACACAAGATACTCTAAAAACCTAAGACTATAAGTTTCCCCTAATTCACAAATTATGATAAACTTAATTGAAAGAATTGATACATTAGGTTCAGGTCTTCTCTTTAAATACACCTCTACATTTCATAGGCTTCGAAATCTGCATCCACATATTTCTTGATCCATAAGATGAGTGTGTTGCACCCAAAATTTTACCCCGAGCTTTCTCATTCGCATTATTTATATCCAATTTATTTTTACTCACATATTTGCATTTTAACGCACATTTACATTTATTCCTGATTTAAATTTACATCCATATACATACCTATATATATTTTTCTTTAGTTAAATTTTTAAATTTGATTTTATTTAATTTCTTATGTTTATTATTTAATCAAAATATAAAAAAATTATTACAAAAAATATATGTTTCTTTTACTGATTTTATTTACCTTTTAAATTTAAATTTAATGTTAGTTTTAATTTTATAGATAAAAAGTTGTACATAAAAAAAATATATATGTATTTTCATTTTATTTAATTAAGTTTTAGTTTAGATCTAGTTTTAATAATATTTAAAAAATTATTACGCTGTCAAAATATTTAAAACCGTTGGATTTTAATCAAACGGTTCATAAAAAACAAATTTGATTTTTCTAAACCTAAATGAGATAAGGTTTTCGATCTAATCTCTGTTCAACTCCCTCCGACAGCTCTGTTTCAGTCACCATTATCACGTTCTCAGCTTCGACGCCGTCAAAGCTTCGTCGCAACTCATCCGTTCGCCATCTTCGCAGATGTTCAGTAAGGTTTTGTGCCATTTTGTATTCTGTATGCATAACTGTGATGCTGAGAAATGTTGTTGTGATAAAATTCCTCTGCAAAAATAGTGTTGGTATAAACTGTGATGCTGTGTGTTTTTCTGAAAATTATTATGCTGCTGAAAATGTGATAACCCTGTGAATTTAGTTTTGATATACTTTTGATTTGAGCTGTTATGCTGCCTTGGTTCGAGAGATTCAAGTTTTGTGCCACTAAAAAGAATCGGTGTTAAATCTGGTTGAATTTTGGGTGACAATGCTTACTTTGAATATATCAGGTTTTGTCGGAATTATAGTGTCGGATGCCATTCCGTTTGTGTATGTTGAAGTCGTCATCATGTTTTGTTGGAATTTGATTGAAATCTATACCATGATAATTCCTTCTTGTTTTAATTTCGATTGAAGCTGCGATGATTGGTGGGCATATTATGTTGCCATTTTTATTGCGTTGCCATTTCGAAGTTTAGATTCAATTTGGATTTCGAAAACCACATGGACGCATACATTTGAAGCCTTCGATTCGGTTTATCTCGATTCCATGTCATTATTTTGATCAATTCTAATTTTGATTGTTATATTGTGATGCTTGAATCGGCTTGAAAGAGATTTTTAGTTACATTTAGTTACAGTTGAGTTTGGTTTTGAATGTGGAATGTGGATGTGATATCTTTGGTTTTCCGATTGCGTTTGAGCACTTTTTGGGTGAATTTCGGAGCACTATTTCGTTCATATAGTTGCTGTCCGGATCTAGCGTAATTGGATAAATCTTGTTTTAAAATCAACTTTCCATGTTTCAAAATCAACTTTCCATGTTTCAAAATCAATTTGGAACAATGGCATGAGTTGTGACTTTGGTTTTCATATTTGATTTAAAACTTTTGAATAATCGTGATCAATTTGTTTGGATCTGTTTGGAACGAGAAGTGTGTCTCTTGTTTTATTGTTGTGTCTTATTACTTGAATCATTTTGAAAGAGATGTTCATGACATTCTTGTTTCTTTCGTTTTGAATTTGAAAGAATACTTCGTTCATGGCACTACTTTTTTGTTCTCTCTTGCTTGAACATGCTTGAAACTAAATTATTGGAATATTTGTGCCTGTTCTAGTGACTGCCTGGTTCTTGTTTAATCGATTGAATCTTTGTAGCGTTATTAAGTTTACGTAGTGGTTGCTCGGACAAGGATTTATGCATTTATATCTTGTGTTAAGCTTGATTTTTCATGTTTGGATTTGAGTAGAAGCATGAGTTTTGGATTCCGGTTTCCGTTGTGGATTGAGATCATGATTATCTTTGAGTTTTGCTTAATGTTGAACATGTTTGAAACAACAAATACAATGCTTATTTTTATGCTATTTACATTGAATAATAACTTGTTTTCTTGGTTCTTGATTGAGAAATATTCATTTGTTCATGTAATTCGATTTAAGTTCTATTTGGTTTACAATTTCTCTTGTGATTACTAACTTGTCCATTGTTTGTGAAGACTTTTAAGATAGCTCATATGTTCACTTTATCTTGACACCACTTTATTTCTTTTAGTTAATTAACTAAAAGTGGATTTAGTTATTTAATTTCGTTATTAAAATTTAATTAGTTTTAGCTAATTAATTTTCTTAACTTAATTAATTAATTTATTCAACTTTTAAGTTAATTAATTAAGCATCCATTTCATATTTCATTTGTTTCATTTAGCTCTGATACAGGTTTCTAATCCACTCAAACTTGATTTTTTATTTCACATGAGATGTTCGAATTATTTTTATGTTATCCATATTTTGTCTGTTTGTTAGAAACTTCATTTGATACAGGGATTCTTATCTGACACCTTGAGTTTACCTGGTACACTTTCCCGGCTTGTGATTTATTTTCACTTAATGCGTTTTATCCGTTGCTTTGAGTATTATCGGACGCCTTGAGTTTCTCTGATAATGTCTTCTTGTGATTTATTTTCACCTGAGGTTTGATATACTTTTGGCTTATTTATCTGCTTGTGCGTTAATCCAATGGATGAGATCTCTATATTGATTTCTTTATATCAAATATGAGCTTTTGTTTGGTCAGATATTCCTTACCTATTTTTTTACTTTTCTGTACATCAGACATTCTCTTCATCTCATTCATATTCTTCAATTTTCAAAACTTTCTCAACTTTTTCAAAACCTTCTTGTTTTCAATAAACTCTAACCGTTTTCATAATAAACTTTGACTTTGTCAAACGACTTTTCTTTTCAAATTTATTTTTTCTTAATTAAACCTAAAATACTTAATAAATAAAGGTGTGAATCGTATGCAGTTGAGTCTTTTGGGGTAGGATTAGGCGGTACATATTGAACCTTGTTCTTTCTTCCATTTTCGGACTTTATTACGTCTCAATTCGCAACTATTTTCACAAATAAGCAGAGAAGTAGTAAATGTTCCTCTCGTGGAATCCATTTGCTATTATCCCAACAAAACATACTTCAACTCATTCAAAAAAATTTGTGTCTCGCATAACTTTTCCCTTTAAAACTTTTTTCAAGGTTGGACATGATTCATTTATAGTCTAGATATTTTTTTTCTATCCCTGGGATTGTAAGGATGTCGACTTTTTCACTCGAGTACTAGAGGTGTTCTCAAACCCTCACTCTTACTGATGCATTGTCCCTCTTTCGTATACCTTGTGGGCGATTATTTGAGATTTCTCTCTTAAAAATGATGACTTATCTTTTCATTTAAAATCAATCAACATACAGTTTTGTTCTTTTTGAGCCGAATTACAGTGCTCTGACTTTTCCATTGCACGAGGGAGTACGTAGGCACTAGGTATCACGACCAAAGGCGAGCGCAATAATAAAAAATATTTTCTTTTGTTTATAAATATTCATTCATTCTCTTTAGCAAGTAAGATTTTAGATAACACACCTTTTGATTAAAACAAACAAAGTGGATCCTGCGGGGTACCATAGATGTTTTCCTTTACATAATCGACCCCCGTGTCTTGATCTCTGATCTTTTATTTTATTTTGGGTTTTGTTTGTTTTTTTCCTATTTCCTTTTGGAAACAATAAAATACGGTGGCGACTTCATTGTGTGAGTTAAGTCAATTAGTGACTTAGTCTCAAATTCTTACCTCTACATTTTCGCATTACAGTGCGACTGAGTGGTGCATCAATTGTGCAGCAAAATCTCCTTAAATATTGGAACAAACAATACCAAGTTTCCTTAATTGTCTCAAGGCCCAATTTAGTAACTTATGTACAACTGGAGATACAAAACTTGTTCTAGATTAAATGTTATTGACCTGTAAAATTTACTGAGATATATTCAAAAAGAATATCACAGAATCTAATTAAATCTGTCAAGATTTAAAAAGCCTGTACTGATGTTCAGGTACATCATGTTACAACATATGTCAGAACAGCTACCTTCAAATGAACATGACCAGCATGTTAGAACATCTTCTATAATATCCTTGTTGTAAATCATTTTTTAGCAAAATTATGTCAATTCTACAACCATGGTATTGATAATCTCCCCCTTTGGCAAATTTTGACTAAAACAACCAAATCCCAATAAAACTGGAGAGAGGAATAAAATCATAGAGGAATAAAACTACAGAGGAATAAGACTACAAAGGAATAAGACCACAAACCAAACTACAAAAATCTGTATCAAAGATACAATAATTACACAAACACAAGTTACATGCTAAACATGTAAACTTTGTACATGAGGAAGAAGATAACCCGCATCTTCAGAACCATCAAGTTACTCTCCCTAAAACATACAACCAATTCTTGTCACAGAAAGATAAATCTCCCTCTCAAGAATTTAACACATTAGAAGAAGATGTAGCAGAAGCATTACACATAACTCATAGCACAAGACACAACAATGCTCATAAATCATAACACAAGACACAAAAGACAAGACTCAAATAGAAAACACACAGACATACATGATGTTATAACATCATATAGGATATCCTACAAACAACTACAACATATGTACCAGCAGAAGCAGAAACTAGACATACTTAATACTCACATGACAGTCAGTCATGCTTCCCCTAAAGTGTTTCATAAAGCAAATAACTCTTGATTAAACCTAGACCTACAAACACTTTTCTCCCCCTTTTTAACCAAAAATTGAGTAGAAAGGAAATTAACATAAAAATAATCATAAGAAGCAAAAATTGATTCAAAACAAACAAACAAAAGAAACTGACTACCTGACTTGATGCATGACTAATAGCACCAAATTAACTCAAAAGAAACAAAAAAAAAAGAAGGAATAGACTCACCCAAAGAGACCAAAACTAAGGGTTAAAAAAATGACTCAAAACAAGACTGACTCAATGAACAAAAAAAAAACAGAGAAAAAAAACCTTTTTTTTTGTTTTTTCATAATAGATAGCATATATTAGGTATCCAACACAATCTTCTGAGTCAATGCAATTGACCCAATCTTCATTAGCATCTGAGTCTGAATTATGTATATGGACATGGTTTTTCTTGAGGGATTTCACCTTGATTACATATGTTTTCTATGTCCTGGATGTTTCAGTAGATGTTTCAACATTTGTTAGAGTGTTGGACCCTAGTTTCTTTGAACCAAAATCCATTCCTTCTTGGTTTTCAGCAGAAGAGCCTTCTTTGCATCAACAATTTTGAAAGATTTGCTCATGTTGAAACACAGCTTGTGAGGATTGTGAGGTTGTAAGGTCTTTAAATACAAGGAGAGTTACCTAGTTTTTAATGAAACCTTGCTTGTAATAATAGACCAGTCAATGAAAATTTTATTGGAAGGAGATAAAATCTTCTTTAGTAATAGTGTACCACTTACCATAGGAGAGAGACACACCCTTGTTCAACTTATCTCTTTCAAAGCTTTGACTATTGGAAATCTTACAACATTTGAAATGTCATCCTCCATGCTATTGAAAATGATTTTTCTGAGATTGCACACTCCATTCGTTGAAAGAATATAGTTGGCAGATCGCCAAAACAATTATTCCTATAATTCTTCAACAGTGCAATTCCATAATTACCCCTCATATTCTCAATATAACTTGAACCTCAAGTTATGATGAAAATAATTCCTAAGGCTTCTCATCTATACCAATCTTATGAGTGTCAATATAAGTCTGTAGTAAGATCCCTGACACAATGATGACAGAACAAATGACTTTGTTCTGCAAGAAGAATAAAGTTCTTGTACTTTGATTGCAGTAGCATGTCACACTATAATATCATGACATTTAATCGGACATTACACTCTTTTAGTAGTCAACTCAATTGAGAATACATCTTCCTTCATCAATGAACCTAATCTTAAGGATATACCAGAATTCAATTAA